AACTGCAATAAATAACTATCTTATTCATTATCCCGCTCCAAGAATAGGTTATGAATAACCTTTGATGGGAAATTGAGCTACACACATGCACAAAGAAATGTTGACTGCATGTCCAAGGAAGGTCTACCTCAGAAATGTATCATCCTTAGAAAAGGTTGATAGGCTAATGGAAAATGAAACATAGTCATCATCCAAAAACTAAGCGTATAAAATCTATTAACCTAAGGGCCAATAAACTCATAGCTCCCCATCTCCCAAGATCGATCGCTAATAACATAGTCTCTCCACTCGCCTAAGTCTTTTAAAATCTCATGGCTAGATTTCCTCCTCATCTCCCCAATAGCCTACTGACCTGTCACACTCTCCTCATCACCCAAGAACTATTGTTAGCTTTCCTCATCGCTTAAAGCGCATCATCAATAACCCATGGCAAAAGCTAGGGTCCCCCTTCGTTGTCTAAGGAAATGAGAGGGAACATATACAAAGTTGTAAAGTCTAATATTTTAGCATCATTAACGCTAAAAGTCAATGGAATAATACTACAAATAACTCATTGCTCATACACATTTCTCATACAACATTTATGTGGCAGATCTAATATTGGGCGAAAGTTTAATTAAACTTTAAATTAACCAATCATTTTGGCCACACTACTGTTATATGAAATGAATATGTGTATATTACTAAGTCAATGACATGTGGTTCTATTTAAAATGTTATCGTCTGGGACTGAGTAATCTTTGTCGCAGGAAGTTTGTGTGTCCAGGAGTTGCCACTCGCCCAAGATAGAAGGATACGATTGTCACCAACCCAATAGATTCAGGTTTTGTCTATAAGTGAATGGGAACCATCACACGTGTCCAAGCCTCAAAAATTTGGGATATTTAAGTTATCAGCCATGCAGAGGTAAGGAATGACTTGCACAATACCTACCCACTTGTAGACTTGTAATCATTATCTGAATTCTCAGCTATAAATAAGGACTCGCCCTCACAAATTCAGATTGATCATTCCTGATTTTCGATAATTCAAAGCAAATACAACCTATGAGAAAGAGAGATTTGATATTCTCTCTGAATACTCAGCCATTGTACCTTTGTTCGCTATTCGCTATTCGCTATACGCAACCTCTTGTACCACACTTATATAAAAGAACAGTGGATGTGAGAATCGCTTTAAATCGCAGATCATATACAATCATTGTCTCATTTATTATTCAGTCTTTGCATTCAATTGATTTATACCTTGTCCCAACTCTAAATCAATTAATCAGTGTATTTTAAGACTTGCTTAGCACTTTGCACATGTGAGGTTGTTGGTGTCAAAATCACGCATCACAGTTTGGCTTAGAAGGAGGGTTAGATTTCGACATTAGCTCTTCATTGTATTTCTAATCAATCAGTCTCTACCTGCGACTTATGGCTCGAGGTTTAGAAACCAGCATACTAGTACCAACAAGAGGAGATCCCTCGAGTTTAGGAGTTTACTCCTCCCAAAGTAACTCCAGTTCCCAAAGTACTACGGTGGCATCCCTCTCGACCTTCAGCCACATCTGACTTAAAGGATTACCTGGAAAGTTCAACAGCACCTGTCAAATGTTAACCAAAGGTTGAATCGTTTGGATCAGGTTGTGTCACCCAATTCTAATAAGGCAATGTTATGTCCAAAAACGCTTATAGATCGCGTTAAATTGTGGAAACAAGCAAAAACTCATACCACACGCACTATAGTGCACAAAAATAAGGGAAAACAAGTGGTTGATAATGGGCCAAGAAGTTCTATAGGGCCAGTGAATACTAGTCGTGAAACAGGGAGAATACTTGTATCTTTGTGACTTGGTGGTATGTCGCATCATGATCTATCTCATGCCACATCGCAAGGGCACCCCTGCAAGAGTGCTCGGCAAAGAGATTCTAACTATCATCGGAATGATGGTTCTGACTATCACTGTGAGGGAAATAACCACCGTCTACATGTCAGTTTTGACCATCAGAGGTAAGGAGAACTCCCCAAGCCAATCAGAAGTTCTCAATGCCGTTGAACTACCTCAGTAACATCCAACAAGAGAGGAATGAATCTCTCCTGTCTTATATTGATAGGTTCCATAGAGAGCTGAATAAGGTGGCTAATACACCAAAGAATTAAGTTCGAACTCTAATTATTGCTGAAGATCACTTGCAAACCGACCTGTGGAAGAAACTGCAGTCTGAGGATGATATTTCGCTCGCTCACTTCTAAAACCTCATAGAGATATATCTTAGAATAGAGAATTCAGTAGCGACTTTAAATCGCCACGACCCCAGGCCTTCAGCCAACGCTCCCAATTGCAAGGAGGAAAACTGGGGAGATGGTAGTAGAAGATCTGATAGTAAATGGGCTAATGACGATCAAAGAAAGGGAAAGAAACAACAATTTGAGCCCAAGAAATCTTATGCCCAAGTTCCTCATCATGATCATGACTGGAATTTGTTCACTCCACTCAATGCATCAGTTTCAACTATTCTAGATAAGTTAGAAGAAGCTAATCTACTTGGAGAGCCGAAGCCCAAGAAAAATCCCACTTCTAAAAGAAACAGCAAGAAGTATTGTTGTTATCATCAAGATAATGGGTACCATACCGATGAATGCTGAGCTCTTAACTAGGTTATTGAAGACCTCATTCAAAATGGGAACTTCAAGGAGTATGTTAATGGTCCAACTCTTACTCAGGAGAAGGATCAAAAGGGTGATGGAAAGAAGTGTCTTGGTCACAAAGGTCTCCATCTGGTGGGGACTATTTTGGGGGACTGCATATCATGGGAAACTCTCAAGGTGCTCAGGAGAAGTTTGCTCGAGAGGCTCGCTATGAGCCCGTGAGTGTCCTAAATACAATGTTGTGACCTAGCAAGGTACGTAAAAAGGATGAGATTACCTTATTTGAAAAAGACGTGGTACGATTGCATCACCCCCATGAGGATGCACCTATCATTGCAGCTGAAATAGGAATGTGCGAAGTCCACAGAATGTTGGTGGATAATGGGAGAGTCGTGAACATCCTATTTCAAAGAGCATTCGAGGAAATGCTATTAGAGAAGACAGATCTGAAGCCTATCTCCATTCCCTTTTATGGTTTTACCAGGGGTCATCTGATTCCCAGGGGATCAATTTCACTTTCTTTCATTTTGCCATGAAATGACTAAGATGACAAAATTTCTAGTAGTAAACTATCCATNTAGTGAGATAAGGTTTTCTATAAATTAGAAGGATTCGTGTATTGTGAACCAAGCTTTTGCCAAGCCAATTCTAAACTTTCTCTTTCACTTTCATTTGATGTAAACTTCCCAAAAGCTCTCCAAAAAGAAAGCTTTCATTGTAAGTTAAATTTCTTTAATCATTCAATGTTTAGTCTTTCAAGTTCTTTGATTATTCTCTTTTAATCTTTCAAGTTCTAGTTCTTTTAATAATCATTCATCATGTTTGATTTTAATGTTTATTTAAGTTTTTATTTATGTTATTTGTTTCTTTAAATTTTTGTTCATCACTTAATCTGGTTCTAGTGCGGCAGTACTGCCGCCGTTACCTAGTTAAGTGTTAAACTCACTTCTTAATATGATTTATGTGCGGCTCTGCCGCCGTTGTCTTATTAAGTTGTAAGATTATTTAAATTAATGTTTATTTAAGTTTATTTTAAGTTTATTTAAGTTTTATGTTTATTTAAGTTTTGTTTAATCTCTGCATATCTCCTTTTTGTGTGCAACGATCCTGTGTCCCTTCTGGTAATGAAGGGACAATTTAACTGGTAATGAAGTACCGAGTCATATATATATATTTTCCAAGTGATTACCAGTTTCATTTATTTCAGATTTTTACCTTTAAACTAAATTCGTTTTCTTTATTTTAACCGTGTGAAAGGTTAAAATAGTCTTTACCCTATTTTGAAATTAAAAAGACAAAACAACCCTAAAAAACCCCAAATCTCAAATTTCTCTCCATCTCCATCTCTTCATCTTCCGCTTTCCCTCATCTTTGTCTGCATCGTCGCCAACCGTTTTTCGGTCCTTTCCGATGATGAAGCCCAAATCTAGCCATGACTATCCATCTCCCTCTTGCATTTCTCCATTTTTTTCTTCTTCACCACACGATTTTGCCTTTCCCGTGAGTGCAGTGCCCAACTGCCTGATTCCAGCATCGCCGGACACCCCTATCACCACCAATTACTTCTCCTTAACCAACACACCAAAACCCCTCTCAGCCTCACCCAAGAGAACCCCTCAATCATCGACCACCACACATCTAGGGTTTGCGCGATTTTGCCATTTTCCCGTCGATTCCAGCAACGAAAATCCCTCCCGTCACCGCCATTCACCTCACCGGCCTCCCCTCTCAAAAACCTCTTCCATCCCTGACAATCGTTTGGTTGTCGGTTGTTGTCCGTCACTTCCCCATCTCTTCGTGCGACAGCTGGGTTTGGATTGATTTGGAGCCTTTATTTTGAGTTCAATTTGCGGGGTTTTTGTTGTGTTTTGGAGTGAATTTAATCTATTGATTGGGTATGGTTTTTTTTTTTTTTTTGGTTGTTTTCCCCACTGCCGGCCACTGATTTTCCTTGCCACTGTTGTCGCCCACCACCTGTGTTTTGGAGTTAATTTGATTTGTTGATTGGTTGTAGGGTGGGCCAACTGTGGTGGTGGTTTGGAATGGGGGTGGTTTGGCCGATTGTGGTAGCGGTTTGGGATGGGGTGACTTGAAATGGACTGTGGTTTGGAATGGGGTGAAGGGCAGTTCCGTAATAACCTGTGTCAAAATCAAACCGTCACTGACGATGTTTATTCAAGGGTGGGGATTTGGAATAAATGAAACCGGGAGTATCCGCTCGGGATTTCGCCAAACCTCGGATGGAATATGTCGTTTAAGCTGCATTAATGTGTATCATTTTTTTTATCAGAAGATGTATTTCACTGCTACTGCTACTGGTAGCTACAAGGGTCAAGGCGTTCATGATATAAAAGCAGGGAAAAAAGTGAAAGTGAAAACTGATTCAGATGATAAATATTACAAAGGTTTCAGTCAACATACAACAAACTTCACTCATAAAAAATGTAAACCTATCCACACTTTTTTTTCTTTTTTGGGGTCGTCCTCTCTATCTCGAAGACCTATTGCACAGCATAAACTTCACGCTAAGCATAGATATCAATAATAGAAGCAATCTTCATTCTACTTACACCTGGGAATTGAATAACAATAGTATTGCCATAATGGTCTAATTAGATGAGGAGAAAACGGTGGGAGGGGTGGCCATTTCCCAACTTGGGGTGGTGGAAATACTTTGGGGGATCTTGGGCAAAGGAGGAAGCTAGACAATGGCGGGCAAGGCTTCTTGTGGAGTGGAGGGAGTGGCTTAACGAAAATCGGTGGTTTTGGTTTCGGTTTGTAAATAGGAATTGGTGGGGGAAGCACTTTTGGGAGGGAGGAGGGAGTGGCTTAACAAATATTGGCGGTTTTGGTTTTGGTTTGTATATAGGAACTGGTGGGGGAAGCACTTTGGGAGGGGAGGAGGGAGTGGCTTAACAAATATGGCGGTTTTGGTTTTGGTTTGTAAATGGGAACTGGTGGAGGAAGCACTTTAGGGATTGAGGAGGCTTGAAGAGCGGGGGCTTTGGAGGGAAGATCTTTGGTTTTGGAGGAAATGGCTTCTTGACACTGGTGGCTTCGGTGGAAGGACTTTTGGCTTTGGAGGGAACTTCTTAACCGGCAACGGAGGTGGAAGTGGCTTAACTACTGGACAGGTGGTGGAAGTGGCTTATATGGAACTGGTGGTGGAAGGTTTTGGCTTGGAGGGAACTTCTTAACCGGCAACGGAGGTGGAAGTGGCTAACTACTGGCACAGGTGTGGAAGTGGCTAACTACTGGCACAGGTGGTGGAAGTGGCTTTATGGAACTGGTGGTGGAAGCATTTTGGGGAAAACGGCTTCTTGATAGCGGTGGTTTTGGTGGAAGCGACGGTAGTGGTGGCTTGGGAGGGAAGACTTTAGGAGGGAAAGAGAAAGGGTGGTGGCCAAAGCTCTTCAAAGGCGGCAAATTAAACTTGGGGTGTGAATATTTAGGCAGTGGTGGGTACTTATAATGAGGCACAAGAAGGCTGAGGTACAAGTAACTGGAGAAAACTTGAGTTTTTCCGGCCAATCCAAACGTATGCTTTCCATTAGTTTTTGTTTTTAACACAATCTTGGAGGATTCTAGGCCGTCATGGGCCGGGCAAGGAGCGGCTGATGCACTGTGAAGTTGTGCATAGCATTCTTCTTTAAGTTTTCCATCTTCAACAATCTCTTGAGGAAGAGACACCGTGAACTTCCCTTCTGCATCAAGCTCGCCGGATCCTCTTGTTTTAAACACTCCATTCTCTGGCTTACAATCTATAGTTACACGAAGTCCTGCACATACAAAAAAAGCAATTCTCCATTAATGATCTACCTTAAAAGTATAGAAACTTGAAAATTTTCCCGAATGGGTTGGATCTTAATGCGTCAAAATATAGAAAGAGAGAGTACTTCAGACTCTCATTCCGTTCTGTAATGATTGAACGGTATTTAGAAATATGGACAAATGGAAGTTTAACTATTTTCACGTGCATGCATGCATGCATGGCGAAATTTTTGAGACCTAAAAGATCCAATGGAACGATACACAGATGAGTAAATTTCATCATTCCAGGGAAAGTACTTAGATTTTCACATTTCCGTTTCGCCATTAGAATTGAAGAAAGGAATTTCGAAAACCTAAATAAAAAAGAAAAGACGAATCAATGTCGTTTCTTTTGGGGTTTTATACCTGAAACAGCCTGACTTGTTTTAAAATTATTCTCAGAACAATCTGCACATTCTCCAGTTCCAACTACTTCAAACAACGATGTAGTTGTTGTCTTGTCATCACTGCTGCCATGGCAGAAACTCGCAGAAAAAAGCAACGACACCAAGAAGCACAGAAGCGCTTCTCGGGAAGCGGAGAGAATCCGCATTGAGAACCGAGAAGAAATAAAAACAATAAACAAACAAAACACACAAACAGCTGCTGCTGCTGCTGATGAGTGATGATGAGAATCCACAGAAGTGAAGCGTGTTTATATAATGGAGGATCCATGCATGACTTAAAGCGAGAGAGGGAGAAGCAGACAGAGAGAGTTGTTTATTGGTTAATTAAAAAGGTCGTCACCGACAGGGTGCAGTTAAGGGCCTCACATGAGGTTAGGCACCGGTGGAGATGATTTAATTGAATGAATTGAATTGAGAGGGATCAGTTGAAAGAGATAGTAACGTGCTAGCCACCGGCATCATTCAGTAAACGCCATTATCTTCATTCAATGCGCTCTCAACTACACACATTATATACTACTACAGCTATGAGATCCAGCTCAATTTCATATACTGTACGGGGAAGGAATTTACATATACAGTAAATATATAGATTTGAGGCTTATGAGAATTTCATGTGAATCATCAACTACTTGTTTTGTCAACTTGGGAATTTCATTTCATGTTCATTTGTCAACTGATAACACCAAGATTGATGAAGCTTTTCACATGTTTTTCAATATCTATAACACAAATCGAGTTGAATTTTATACGACACATGTTGTGGGTCTTAATAAAGATATGTTAGAGCCTAGCTCTTGTTGAAAGTTGTCGTATGGCCAATGGCAATAATGCTGAAGAATAAACGACTTTTTCCCACCCAAATAATATTTTAATGACATTTTCTCATCCATAAACTTTCAAAATACCATTTTATTACTCAAATTTATATTTCGTTTCTGATTCTAATATCGTGACGACCCCACACCACCACCATTCTCTTTCCCGATTATCACTTACCAAAACTCCACAAACCCTACTCCCATCAATCACGCCAATCACTGACAATCGAGTGATTAATTAGGGTTTGCATAGTTGCCCATTCCAAGTCGAATTCGATCAATCCCAACGACCAAAATTCAACCTTCTACCACCAAAACAATCATCGATCTCCCCTCTTCAAAAGTCCAAACAACATGGACCAAGTTTACTCTCTGTTCGCCGCCGGAATATAAATTTGGATATTTTAAAAGTTTGTTAGTAAGAAATGTCATTAAGTCATTATTTGGGTAGAAAAAAAGTCATTAACTCTAATGTTTAACAACGTCGATGTATGTAACATATCATAATAGTATTTATGTGTCATAATAGATATCAATGTTGAACGGCGTCGATATATGTGATATATATCATAATAGTATTTATCCGTGAAAAAACTTAATATTATAATAAATGCTACAAAATTAGATGAAATGATGATTGCTTCAGATAATAAGTGCAATAAGAATGAAAATCCTCAATTTACTAAGTCGTGGGATGTTGATGATTCCAAGTCCAATTTAAGGTTGAGTAGCTTTAAAATTGTCCAAATACATGAAAGCAACACAACCCATATCAAAGAGACAAAAGAAAATACCCTTTTGTGCATACAAATTAATCAAGTTTAAGGATGTGATGATCATTATCAAATAAATTGAAAGAAAAATCAATGTATGTTAGCATATTGATATTAATTTTATAGTTGGGGTGAGGGTCTACGTGCACTAATAAGAAGATACAAACCCTTGTGTTCTTTAATAACCAAACCCAATTGTATAAGAAATTTGTGGATGCATGATACTTTGTTTTCAATCAATCAAATCAAAGGTATTAATGACCAAACCTAATTTTGTGACAGATTTTATGGTGAGGCCAACTGATATTAGTAGCTTGAGATAATTGCATTTTATTATATGTACTCCCTTCAAAGCTTAACATAAAAGATAGGGTATACCCTACACTATGCATTATGACCTAGTTTCTTTATTTGCTCTATAGTATTTGACTAAAATTAAGACTAAACGACTTTTTCCACCCAAGGTTTGCCTTAATGACACTTTCTCACCCAAAGTTTATATTTCTTTAATATCTAAAATACATTTTACTTTTTCAGTCGATGTTCGACGAGTTAGCAGGAGCTAGAGTAAGAGGAGTTTTGTAGAGTAGAGGTTGGTAGATTGAATGGTAGTGACCGATTGAATATTCGTCAACAGAATTAGCCGAAAATCAGTTAAGAACATAAAATCGTAGCTTTGTGATGACCGGCAATCGACGAGAAATCAGGTGTCATAGTGAGAAGAGTTTTGTAGAGAGGAGACCAAATATTCAAACGGTGATGACGGAGAGAATTTTCGCTACCGAAATCAACTTTGAGTATTAACGGAATATAAATTTTGGGCAAAAAAATGGTATTTTAAAACTTTTTGGGTGAGCAAATGTCATTAAGGCAAACCTTAGGTGGGAAAAGTCGTTTACTCTAAAATTAATTATCAAAAAGTATTTATAAAAATTAAGAGATTATATATGTTTAAAAATAAATATATATCAAACATTTCATAGAAAATGATAGAATACGTATAATATATGTAATATCAAATTTTTTTTTTTTCAAGAAACTCTGGTTTTTTTTTCATTATTGTCGACCTATACCCTCTTTAAGAAGTAAGAAACAATAATTTTGAACATGTTATATATATATATAATTGGTCTTAAGCCTTATAAAGATATTAATAGTGTACATAAAAGCACTTATTGATAATCACTTTGACATTCAACTATTTTATGATGCTGTTAAATAGATGGTTGGCAATCACTCTGATAGCCGACTCTTTAGCGTAAAGAGACAGCAAGATGTGGCCTAATTATTAAATGGCCGCAACCAGGCGATGAAAATAAGGGGAAAAGGAATTTCTGATTGAGGAATATATAACTATACTATTGTACATGGATTGATTTAGATACCTTTTTTGTTTTTAATGAAATTTGATATCAATGTATTCTCTTTAATTTAGGTGAATTCACTCATAATCCAGATAGTTAGGATGAATTGATAATGTGGATAAACATATAGTTTCAAGTTCGATTTTTTATCTGAATATCTGTAATTTAAGTAGGAATAGTGGTTGTGAACTGCTACTCATTGGCCCGGACACCTTGGTTAAAAAAGAAAAATGTTAAAATGATCTGAGATGAGGGGTGGTACCACACTACCACTACATCTACATCAATCTAGGTATGGCCGAACGACTTCCACCTACCCAAAGTTTGGCATAAAGACAAATTGATACCCAAAAGGTTTGGAAATGACAAACAAATACTTTCTGTCATATTCTGTTAAGGATTTTTGTCTGCTAAAAGACAATATAGTAATTTCATTCTCACCTCAAGCCCGTTTGCACATTCCTCTTGCGTCATCGATCGATTTTTTGACAGGATTTAATATTTTTCTGCCAAGTTCGGTGATAAACAGTGGCACTGACCCTTATTGACGCGCGTTGGGAATGGAGATCGATGGATATTTCAGTCTTTTCACTGTTTTTGTCTTTTAGCAGATGAAAATTCCAAACAGAACATGACGAAAAGTGGGTATTTGTCATTTCCAAACCTTTTGGATACCACTTTGTCTTTACAACAAACTTTGTGTTTGTGTAAATAGTTCCCCCATCTAAGTATCTAACCAAACCAAATGAAATTCAATTAATTTTTTGAGACACATGGCCTCATCCTTTTTAGAGTAAAATTACCACGTTACATAAACAATAAATTTCCAAAGTACCATTTATGTGCTTTATGAAAGTGATATAAACCAAACCCAAAAAGAGACGTTTTCCGAAAAGGAAGTGTGCAATTATTGTCCCATATCCATACTCCCAAAGTTGGGTGGCTGAAAGGAAGAGAATTTAAATCCTCAATGGAAGAACAAGGACAAAGAATGGCATCCCACAACAGTTCACAAACCACCACCATTACTACACACATGAGAAATTCAATAAGGCAGAGACAGATCGGATATTTCTCCTAACTGCATTAAGTGAAACCGAGATGCCCTATCAAATAAATGAAACAAAATAGAAGTAAATTCATCCATGCAAGTGAAAAAGAATAATGTGATCTAAGACAGGTTCTTCTGATTCAGGAAAACTGTGTTCTTCCTACTCAAATTAGAGTTAGTTTCCCTTCAAAATGGCTCAACTTTTTTAGCATCTCCAAAGAAAATAAATATTCTAAAATTTTCTCCCACATGCTACAACAGCAAGGCAAGTCTTTTCTGGCCTAAATTTCCAAAACTACTCACTTATAAACCCTCTTAAAATTTCAAAATGACTAGTGTGAGTTACAAGAGTCTGCACTTCACCGGAGTGCCTCATGCAGCTGAACTTGGCAACGACTATTTGTCTACTTCTTCTTCTTTGATTTGCTGGATAGTGACTGAGTATACGCAGTTCCCTGAAATGGGCATAAAACAAACACATCAGAAATCGATGTCATTGATCTTTAAGATGAAAGTTTGATATAAATGAATGATGTGATCCATTTGAGACCAAAATCTCTAACCATCACTTGGCCACTCCATTTCCCTGAGGAAGGGAGGGAAGCTGCTGATTAAGAACAGTATAAAGAACATATCAACAAATACTGGGAAAGGTTTTGAGAGGTAATAGTGCATAAACCACACACCTGAAGCCACTCATCCATTGAGGCATCTGTAGTTCCTGTTCCAACTTCCACCTTCGGAGCCTTCTTGGTTTTCTAAACCACAAAAAGATCAACAAAAGTCAGAATCATTGCACAAAAAAGAAACATAAAAGAGCCTAGAAACAAAAAAGATATATACAACATCAGAATATTCACTCTACCATAGTAAACATTTTCTATCAGGATAAAGTTCACATTCTCGACCCAGCTTAGATAATTGAAATTGGCAAATAAAGGGAAAAAGAGTACATTAAGATAGTAATTGAGTATTGGCAAATAAATACCTTAGATAATTGCTTTACTTGACCCTGGATCCATAAACCAGCGAAGACAAGAAGAGCAGCTGCAAGGCTGAAAAGAAACACAGACTCAACACTGATGAAACCACCAGACTCCACAACTTCAATGGTACCATTATAGAAGGTAGTTAGGTATGGATGCTCGTCTATCTCATAAATGATGGAACCCACAAGATCAAAATTTCCAGGCTGCAAACGAAAAAGGTATACAATAGGTAAGCTTAAAAACAATGTTTTTTTTTTTTTTTTTTTTCATCAATTTCTAGGGATTTCAAAGCCTGCAGAAATGTAATTTAAGGAACATAATAAACTCCCACACTAATTCATTACCTGCAAGAACTTGCTGACAGCAAAAATGTATGGGAATGAAGCTTGAGCTGAAGCTGGGACAGATGCATTGTTAAAGGCCTACAGTAAGGCACCAAAAAACACTGGTTAAGAAAACAATAAAGTAAAAGTAACCCTAACCAAAAGAAGAGAACCCATCCAACCAAGAAAAAGATGAAAGACCAAGAAAAAAATAGGTGAAAGGCAGCTATAATAAAAGCATGCTGGAAAGTTGAGAAGCCAAAAAGATGCATAAACGGTTTTTTAGAAGTAAACTATTGCAAAAACTTTGTTGTCTGGGGAAGAGAATGACAATGAGAACTTAGATAATACCATGATTTCCAACAGAACAAGAAAGTATTAATCCTAATACAAAACGATTTACTTGATTAAACCATTGCCAGGCAGACATCTATAACTAAACACTATTACACGCATAACCTTTCTTGATATATCATCATAAAGTACAAAACACTAACAAAAATCACTACAAAACTTACATGTGCACACAACAAAAGAATACTACAGTGAAATAATCAAACCAAAGGAATCTGCCAACCACTCATCAACCTTCTTATACATAAAGCATACTACCCTTTTCAACCAGAAAGGGCAAACAAAACTCGAAAATCATAAAAACCTAGACAAATTAGATTTGCTGCAATCCATAGAACTCTTAAGGAATTGACATGAAAAAAATCATAATTGCTAGTATAATATCAACCAAATATTAATTGACTGAAATTTAGATTAACACACCAAATATTACAGCATACGAAACATTTTAACCAAGTAGTTGGTATACCTAGGTTTTTTTCAACAGTCACTACAGTTGCTTCAGGAATAACAAATGAAGCAATATACCCATTATAAAGAGGCAACAATTAGACCAACACAGCAAGTTATTTAGAAATCACAAGGGAAGATGTACATTCATATTATGAACACAAATTTAAGCAAACTTGAAATTACCTGTGAAGTCAGATTTTGAACAAGCAGCTTATGATCAAAAGGCAGATGAATACTGGCCTGAATTGCAATCACATTCATGACTGACTCCGCTGTCATTCCAAACAAAGAGCCAATTAAGCTAAGCTCCAACTATTTCTTTAAAAACAGAAAAAATAAAAGTAAAAATGAAAAAGTGGACAAACTGACATGAAAACATGTTCACTTGGAAAAGGACCAAAAAAGACACAACAAACCATCAAGTCCCTAAACATCATAGCATATCATTACTTTTCACTTCAAAAAGCACCAATAAAACTACCAAAATAAATCAAATTACCATCATTTTTCACCCCAACAAGAAGTTCAGTCTCTTCTCCAGCCGTCACCACTGCAGTACAAGAAACAGAAACCACATTAAACTCTCTCAAAATACTACCCATATCATAAACAAATAAATCAATTTGCAAACATTGATAAATTTCTCACATCGTCCGCTATTCTTAGGGAAAATGCAAACGGTGTCAACTCCTGGAGCTGGGCCAAAACTACTATCAACAAACTCTGGGGCATCTTCACCAACAATCCCAAGATCACCGCCTTCAACAGTCTCCACAGCTTCCTCCGAATCCGACTGACACCTAGCCACTAATCCAACAAAACAACCATCAATTCACAAGCATATTAATCACATTAACAATTCAACTTCAGATCAAAATTCAGCACAACATCAATTAAATTCTCGAGCAATGATTACCAACTCGACATCTAATGCATGCACTATTCTGAAAATTATCAATTAAAAGACTCTTTAGCGTCCGATGAGTACTCATTTAGCTTTTGAAAAGCAAAAAAGAAAACGAATCAATTTTAATTCGTTTACAAAGAGCCCATGCAAGTCATGTACGTATCAGTTAACAATAAATAAATCAAAAAACAGAAGGTTGCATTAATAGAAGCAAAACAATTATATAACAATTTGAACAGATCGAACAATCGTACAAAACAAGAAGCATGCAAGGGCAAAAAATTGAAGCTGATGAACTAACGAGATCAGAATATCATAATTGAAAGGTAGATGAAATAACGAATCGATGCATGTGCTTATACGGATCTAGATCTAGAAAAGGAGCTAGTGAACCTTGGAGGAGAGGAGAGACAAGGAGGAGGAGAGCGAGGAAGAGAACCCTAAAATTCTTCATCGAGATATTCTGTACGACGGCGCTTCGGTTGAAGACGATCACTGAAGAAGACCAAGCTTTGGTGGTTGGATTTTCTCAGGTCAATAGTACTGTATCTAAAAAATGCGAAATGCCTATTTATTGGGTTACTCATGGGAGGATCAATGACACGGCATCGTTTTGATCTTTGAATTTTCTTTTTCTTTGGTTATTAAAATAAATTTAAAAAATACAAGATAATTAGGCTTAACAATGCTAAAAACAAAAAATTTCAAGATATTAAAGGGCTTACAATGCTTGTGGCAGAGAATACTTTTCTTGGCTTTTTTTTTTTTTTTTAAATTAAATTTTAAATATATATTTAGGAGAGTTTCTGATGATGTATTATGTATTAAAAGATATATTATAGATATAGAATATACTAGAAATGACAAAAAAATATTTTTTTATAAAATTTTTAATGATACATAATTATAAAATCCCATTAACAATTACTAATTCCAACAAGGCAGTTAAATCAGTTATATCCTGATAGCATTACAATAACCTTTATATAAATACCAATGCAGGTTTAAAAGATTATAGAACTTTGGGCAATAAATGCCAATCCAAGTTTAATTGGTACAATACAAAGCAAAGGATTAGCTAATCAAATATGATGCTCATCCAAATTAGGTAACTTCAGAGCACATTTTATTGTTTATGGAGTAAACGACATTTTCCCACCCAAGGTTTGCCCTAATGACCATTTTCCATCCAAAAGGTTTCAAAATACCATTTTCCCACCCAAAGTTTATATTCTATTTATACCTAAAATACACTTCAATTTCTTAGCCGACGTTTGACGAGTATTAAGAACCAAAGTAAGAGAGTTTTTGTAGAGTTGAGATCAGTGGATCGAATGGTGATGACCAATTAAATATTCGCCGCCGAAAAAATCAACTAAAAACAAAAAACCCTAAATTTGCGATGACTACCAATCGATGAGAAATCAAGTGCTGCAACAACAGAGGTTTTGTAAAGATAAAACCAGAGATTTAAATGATAGTGACAGGGCGAATTTTCGCCGCCGAAATCAGCTTTGGAGTTAAAAAGTGATATTTTAAAACCTTTTGGGTGAAAAAGTCATTAAGGCAAACCTTGGGTGGAAAAAAGTCGTTTACTCATTGTTTATGGCCGCTTTAGTAGGTCACCAACTAGCAAAATGAGATCCTGTTGACGCCGATGAAAGACACAAATGCCAGCTGTGTTTACTCTTGCTGGATTTAGAATTCAGTATAAAAATAATGGAAGTAGGATACGATTCAAGAGTCAGTCCATTATTATATAATTCCATAAACTTTCCATCATCATATTTCCATTGCATCATTCCATGATTTTGTTATAAATAATTGTAGGAAAGACAATAGTTACCTTCATACTTGGTCCCAAATCTAATAACATGAGCATACAAATCAAAATTATACAAAACTATATGTTTGTCTATCACTAATTAATCCCCGTGGATGGTATAACGCTCCCATTTCTTCGTTGGGTCATATATCTGCATTGACAAAGAAAAAAAAAGCTATCAGGAATGATCTAAAGGACCATACTGAAAATCCATAAACGTGGTGGCGAAGAGGCGAGAGAGAAATTACCTCCCATCTAGAAGCAGGGAAGATATGCTTGTTCTTTTCGTACCAGTGCCTCTCCACAACTTTCCCAGCATGGGACTGTTCAAAGATTTGAGAAAGTAAACATTGGAGTAATTTGAGGCACAAAATTCTCAGTCTGGAATGTGAACACACATATAACAGGAAAATCCTCATAGAAACAAAAACCTACTTTTACTCCTATGCACATTCAACTTTTAACCAGACTATATTTTATCAAATATGGATTCCTCTGATCAGGTCCATAATTCATTATAAAACAATATGATTCAGATCTATTGACACTGACGATCTTAGAAAGCATGCTCTATCTTGATTGGAGGGAAACTATTCAAACTTTTGGAGGTAACTAGCTGCATGACAGCATAACTTAAATCAAGGTTGAACAGAAATTCTAAGTCAGGTCAAAGCCTGTCTTGATAAGCCAATCACAAAATCATTGGCTTGGCTAATAAACAACCCAACATTGCTGGGGTGCTGAGCACTTTAATTATGTGTTATAAGCACAAAGCCACAGAACACTATTTAACGTATTGCAATGACTTGATTAGCCAAAGCAATTATTGCATCATGTTATATTTAACCCATAAAATTGCTATCTAACTTTCACTTATCGCGAGAATCAAAAAAAGTTAATATCTTAAACGTTTACAAGATTAAATAGAGATAATATCTGGAAAAGAAATGTACCTCATCCTTTTCTATTGTTGCATCAGCAATTGTTCGTACATCCTCATGCACGTCAAAGTGGAAAAGCTGTGTCAAATAAATAAAGAGCANCAACGACACCAAGAAGCACAGAAGCGCTTCTCGGGAAGCCGAGAGAATCCGCATTGAGAACCGAGAAGAAATAAAAACAATAAACAAACAGCTGCTGCTGATGAGTGATGAGTGATGATGAGAATCCACAGAAGTGAAGGGTGATTATATAATGGAGGATCCATGCATGACTCAAGCGAGAGAGACAGAGAGAGGTGTTTATTGGTTAATTAAAAAGGTGGTCACCGACAGGGTGGAGTTAAGGGCCTCACTTGAGGTTAGGGACCGGTGGAGATGATTTAATTGAATGAATTGAATTGAGTGGGATCAGTTGAAAGAGATAGTAACGTGCTAGCCACCAGCATCATTCAGCAAACGCCATTATCTTCATTCAATGAGCTCTCAACTACACACATTATATACTACTACAGCTATGAGATCCAGCTCAATTTCATATACGGTACGGGGAAGGAATTTACATATACTGTATATATATATAGATTTGAGGCTTATGAGAATTTCATGTGAATCATCAACTACTTGTTTTGTCAACTTGGGAATTTAATTTCATGTTCATTCGTCAACTGATAACACCAAGATTGATGAAGCTTTTCACATGCTTTTCAATATCTATAACACAAATCGAGTTGAATTTTATACGACACATGTTGTGAGTCTTAATAAAGATATGTTAGAGCCTAGCTTTTATTGAAAGAAGTTGTATGGCCAATGCCAATAATGCTGAAGATTAAACGACTTTTTTCCACCCAAATAATGTCTTAATGACATTTTCTTATCTACAGACTTTTAAAATATCATTTTACTATTTGAATTTATATTTCGTTTCCGATTTTAGCATCGTTGCGACCCCATACAACCAACATTCTCTTCCCCGATTATAACCCATTAAAACCCCACAAACCCTACTCCCATCAACCACACCAATCACTAACAATCGAGTGATTAGGGTTTACATAGCTACCTTTCCCAAGTTGAATCCGATCAATCCCAACGACCAAAATCCAACATTCCACCACCAAAACAATTATTGGTCTCCCCTCTTCAAAAGTCCTAACAACATGGACCGAGTTTGCTCTCTGTTCGTTACCGAAATATAAATTTGGGTATTTTAAAAGTCTGTAGGTGACATATCATAATAGTTTGAGTGGGAAAAAGTCGTTAACTCTAATGTTCAATGGCGTCGATGTATGTGACATATCATAATAGTATCTATATGTGTCATAATAGATATCAATGTTGAACGGTGTCGATATATGTGATATATATCATAATAGTATTTATCTGTGAAAAAACTTAATATTATAATAAATGCTAGAAAATTAGATGAAATGATAATTGCTTCTGATAATAAGTGCAATAAGAATGAAAATCCTCAATTTACTAAGACGAGGGATATATGCTGATGATTCCAAGTCTAATTTAAGGTTGAGTAGCTTTAAAATTGTCCAAATACATGAAAGCAACACAACCCATATCAAAGAGACAAAAGAAAATAACCTTTTGTGCATAAAAATTAATCAAGTTTAAGGATGTGATGATCATTATCAAATAAATTGAAAGAAAAATCAATGTATGTTAGCATATTGATATTAATTTTATAGTTGGGGTGAGGGTCTACGCACTAATAAGAAGATACAAACCCATTGTGTTCTTTAATAAGGTGTGCCAAATTATTTGATGAATTGTATAAGAAATTTGTGGATGCATGATACTTTGTTTTCAATCAATCAAATCAAAGGTAGTAATGACCAAACCTAATTTTCTAGAGATTTTTGGTGAGGCCAACTAATATTAGTAGCTTGAGATTATTGTATTTTATTATATGAGCAATGCTAATTTTACAAAGACACATACAAAGAGGCATACAAAGACAATCTCCACCCTTGATTTTCATGATTTCTCTCTCTCTCTCTCTCTCTCTCTCTCTCTCTCTCTCTCTCTCTCTCTTTCTCTTTCTTTTCCGTTTTTTCTTTGTTTTTTTTTTCTGGATGATGTTACTTTGTAGCCCTCTTTGTATGGTCTTTGCAAGGATAGTATTTTTCTTATTATATATACTCCCTTCAAAGCTCAACATAAATGATAGGGTATACCCTACACTATGCATTATGACCTAGTTTCTTTATTTGCTTTATAGTATTTGACTAATATTAAGAGTAAATGACTTTTTCCGACCCAATGTTTGCCTTAATGACACTTTCTCACCCAAAGTTTATATTTCCTTAATACCCAAAATACACTTTACTTTCTCAGCTGACGTTCGGTAAGTTAGCAGGAGCCAAAGTAAGAGGAGTTTTGTAGAGCAGAAGTCAGTAGATCGAATGATAGTGACCGATTGAATATTCGTCAACGGAATTAGCCGAAAATCAACTAAGAACATAAAATCGTAGATTTGCGATGACCGGCAATCGACAAGAAATCAGGTGTCATAGTGAGAAGAGTTTTGTAGAGAGGAGATCAAAGGTTCAGACAGTGATCATGGAGAGAATTTTCACTATCGAAATCAACTTTGAGTATTACCGGAATATAAACTTTGGGTAAAAAAGTGGCATTTTGAAACTTTTTGGGTGAGCAAAATGTCATTAAGGCAAACCTTGGGTGGGAAAAGTTGTTTACTCTAAAATTAATTATCAAAAAGTATTTATAAAAATTAAGGGATTATATATGTTTTAAAAAAATTAGATATCAAACATTTCATAGAAAAAGATAGAATACGTAGTAATATAGGTAATATCAATTTTTTTTTTCAAGAAACTCTGGTTTTGTTTCATTATTGTCGACCTATACCATCTTTAAGAAGTAAGAAACAATAATTTTGAACATGTTTTATATATATATAATTGGTCTTAAGCCTATTAAAGATATTAATAGTGTACATAAAAGCACTTATTGATAATCACTTTGACATTCAACTATTTTATGATGTTGTTAAATAGAGGGTTGGCAATCACTCTGACAGCCGACTCTTTAGGGTAAAGAGACAGCAAGATGTGGCCTAATTATTAAATGGCCGCAACCAGGCGATGAAAATAAGGGGAATGTGATTTCTGATTGAGGAATATATAACAATACTATTGTACATGGATTGATTTAGATACTCTTTTTGTTTTTAATAAAATTTGATACCAATGTATACTCTTTAATCTAGGTGAATTCACCCATAATCCAGATAGTTAGAACGAATTGATAATGTGGATAAACACACAGTTTCATGTTCGATTTCTCATATGAACATCTATTATTTAAGTAAGAATCGTGGTTGTGAACTACTACTCATTGGCCCGGACACCTTGGTTAAAAAAAAAAATGTTAAAATGATCTGAGATGAGGGGTGGTACCAAACTAGCACTACATCTACATCAATTTAAGTATCTAACCAAACCAAATGAAATTCAATTAACTTTTTGAGACACATGGCCTCATCCTTTTTAGAGTAAAATTACCACGTTACATAAACAATAAATTTCCAAATACCATTTGTAGATGCAAAAAATCTACCGTTATGAAAATAGGGTCTGATCCCGTGAGGTTGTGGACACTGACAATCCGCTGGACCTGCACACATGAAAAGGCAAGCGTGAAGCTTCCGGAAAACATCAAGATGGTGTTTACCGTAGGCACTCCGACACTCAAGTCAGCGAGATTGAAAGAGATTATTTGATAAGAATTAAAGAGATAAAGAATTACCAGGAGTCTTGTCGAAGGCTAGGACTACAGCGGAGGCGTCGGGTTCTTGGGAGCAAGAACTTTAAGAGCAAATAGATGGTTTTGAGTAGTCTAAATCGACTATGGGAGACTGCCTCTTAATGAGAGGGCAAGCCTATGTTTTTATAGTGAACGTTGGAATCCTAGTAGGACATTGAGTCCTTTTTTTTTAGAGATAATCCGTATCAAGAAAAAAATATGATTTCTTGATCTTATCAGATTAAGTTTAATAGTTTAAATAAGATTTGGAATCTTAGTAGGACACTAAGTCCTATTTTGGGAGATAATCCTTATCATGAAAGAGATATGATTTCTTGACCTTATCAGATTAAGTTTAATAGTTTGAGTAAGATTTGGAATCTTAGTAGAAGAGGAAATAGAATGGGATTCTGATTTCTTAGTTATAGACTGTTGCCGGTTAATGAGCTGAAACCCAATTTAGCTTAACTTATAGGATAGCCCAACTCATAGAGTGGGTAGTTCGCAAGGTGATTTTAAGCGTAGGCCCAATCGGGATTGGGTTGAGGCCTTGGGCCGTGACATGTTTATTTCGTTATTGGGCCTCGTCAAGCCCAAGACAATTTTTGGCCCTAACAGTTAGCCCCCCACTCTCTAAGTTAAAGAGTATTTAGCTTAGAGAGCAGATTTAGTCGAATGAGTGCAGACTGAACGGATTAGTGATAGCAGCTTGTTAGGTCGGATGGATCGTTGTGTGGATTGGGTCGATGACTTGTCGATTTGAGGTGCAAGTCCTTTAATCGGTCTAGGCCGATTGAATGTGTAAATCTATAAATCAGTTTGGGCCGATCCGAAGGTGTAAACTCATGAATCGAGTAGGGCCAATCTGAAGGTGTAAACTCGTGAATCAGGCGGGGCTGATCCGAAGGTATAAACTCGTGAATCGAGTAGGGCCGATTCAAAGGTGTAAACTCGTGAATCAGGCAGGGCCGATTCGAAGTTGTAAATCCGTGAATCGGGCAGGGCCAATTCAAAGGTGTAAATTCGTGAATCGGGCAGGGCCGATCCGAAGGTGTAAAACTCATGGATCGGGCAGGGCCGATCCAAAGGTGTAACTTTGTGGATCGGGCAGGGCCGATCCGAAGGTGTAAACTCGTAGATCGGGGAGGCAGGACCGATCCAAAGGTGTAAATCCGTGAATCGGGCAGGGCTGATCCGAAGGTGTAAATCCGTGGATCGAGCAGGGTCGATTCGAAGGTGTAAATTCGTGGATCGGGCAGGGCCGATCCGAAGGTGTAAATCCATGAATCGGGCAGGGTC